CTTCATCTTCTGGACTACAACACATCAGACTCATCCTTGTGACGAATGTATTCTATTGTCAGAAGGATGTTTTCTTCTTTTGCATTCATTGGCACAAATTGGGAGTATGGCTTTTCAGCAGCTTTCTTACCTGCATGCACACGTCTAGAAATCCCTGTTTAAACATGTAGAGCGAAACGAGTGCCTTGAACATGACGTTTCAAGAAATATAAACAGTTTGAGCAGTCCGACCGTTCATTTCAACTGCACTATCCTGAACACCCTTCATTAATGTCTAGGGGAGTTAGCATGAACTTCATGACTAAATGCGGCGGTTGTTAATCTCGGAACGATTCAACTCCTTGCAGCTTGTAGTACATAGATCATAGTAAAAAAAACTTATCTAGCGTGTAAACCTTACGAACGCAATTGTGGACAGCCAACTTTAGCAGACACGGACTCCACCATTGACCTCCTTTGATAGGCATTAACTTCTGGTCGTTGACCTTATTATCTATTTAAAATGCCTTTGATGTGCTCGCTCGCTTATTCTCGACTGGCCTTTAGATCTATGCATAAATGGGAATTCTTTCTAATTCGCAGTCATTTGTCTGTGTTAAAGGCATTTGAGGTCAAGGCTACACAGGTCGAGTATGTTGTTGTGGAACAGAAGTTTTGTCATAAAAAGCACCAACTTTTGATGTGTGCCTGTCTGCGAAAATATACAATCAGCATGCCTATCCCTGACTATATTTTAGGTACACGGCGCTGTTATGCGTACTCAAATATGTCCAAATTTAAAAGTTTTCTGAACACTTTGTCCATTTGCAAATTCTGTGGCGTGTGTCAAAATTTCAAACTTCGTAGTTAATTCTCAATGGTTAACTGTTGTCCTGTAGACAAGAGCATTTGTAGAGTGACACAAAGGGTCAGACATTTGAAACATAGGAATGCGAGGTTGCGTACGGTCATGAGTTGCGCAGTTGAATTTTCCAGTATGTTCTAGATATCAGTAGAATATACCAGACAGGAAATCATAACTCATAATATATTGGTTATTCATAAATAATAAAAGAACTCTGTAATAGGCTTTAGAAGGTTTCTTATTGGTTCCGGAGTCTTCCGTAAAATACAATGATGCCCGACAGAAGCGAAGACTGCTGTGCCTGTAAGCGGCGGTGAGGCCGATAAGATCGGTGAAACGGCAATTTTATTCACTTACCACTGTCAAACAAGTGAGCCCTAATCGCGCTAGGTATTGACTTTACCTAGCCTCTGATTAGCCATTGAGGTTGATGTTCTAGCCGCCTAGTTGATCGATCAACACAAATTGCCTCACAGGAAGATTTTAACGCCCTCAACCACATTAAATTAGTGCTAAATGAGACTGTATCCTTGCATTCAGGGTGAGAACTGGAGTGCTCGAAAATACTTTTCTAAACTTAGCTGTTGGATATGTGCGCGCGATTGCAGCGTTCAAACGAAACTGTATAAGTTCGCTTGATGAAACAATATGTAGAAGTTTAATTTTAAAATAAACCTGGACAATGCAATACACAAATTTCCGTACCTTAGTGCGAGTTAGTTAGGAGCGAAGCCTAGTGTGCTGCTTCGGTAACCGAGCTAGAAGAATATCTTTTTTAAGAAACACCGGAGAACGAACTCACCCTCATCAACAACAATCTGCATGAAAATGTTTTTTTTTCCCGAGAAGTGATCAGTTTATTTATGGAGCAACGCCTACCAACATTTGAACTGCCAACGGCTGAGAAGGAATCCTTATTTAGTACATTTCCTTTTCAAGGGGATCCATCAAGCTAATTTATTCGGTTGGCAATCGCGCGCACAGTTTCAACTGCAACGCTGAGATTAGTATTTTTGAGCACTTTACTTCTTTACTTAGAGCGAAAGGATAGACATCCATCTCCGACCTGTTCAGTTTACAGCTACGTGTTTACGAGCTCCTGTGGCGGGTTATATTGATCAAGCAACTAGGAGAAGATCAAAGCGTATGCAAGAACGTCTGTTGGCCGCAAATTTCAGGATCGCACTCAGAACCGTCTTTGGAAACCACATCAGGTAAAGGGCTCAAGTGCCAATTCCAAAAATTATGCCAATAAATATTTCCTCTCGGTCAATTCTTCTTCTTGTAATACGGCATCTCATAAAAGACTAACCAAATTTCCCCAATGTTTTGGTGAGTTCAATATGCACTAATCTTATGAAACCTATAATGAGATTAGTGAGTTCTACAGAAAGCCCATTTCTACTATTCATTATCAGCCATTCGAGGTCAAATGATGTCTCGTTTTCAATGAGCTTCTGTCCGGCCGCCTAGAAAGACAACGTTGCCAAAGTCGCTTAATAAGCAGTATACATTCCCGCGTTTATTTACGAAACTCCTGCATACTTCTCTGTACGTTTTATAGAAAATCGATAATATTAGGTTTCATTGTCCTAACTCGTAGCCAGGCATACTCGACCTGGCTTATTGCAAACCCCTAGTGCTTGAGAGGACATGGAAGAGGAATTCGTTTTCCATAAAACCTACATGATAGCTTTGTTAACATTTGCGAACGTACTATCGGTAAGTGCCTAAAACATCAAACAGCAGTGGAAGAAATACATACAGAATAATAGTATTTACCGAGCATGCATTTCGTAGGCTGACTAAAATGACTAAGAGCGATGCTGTACGATAATCTGAGTTATGATTCCATGTAAAAAATTCAAAAAAAAGCTTATGTAAAGTATCAGCTAGCGTTTTGGGAATTTGGGCACTGGTGGTATTCCCAAAGATCAAAGTACTCAGTCTCAAAGTTGTTCCTCCACCAGCTATCCATTCAGCAACTATTTTACGCAGTATTTACCGTTTTGAAGTTGCTCCAGAGTTATTTTCTTCAATTGGCTTGGACTTACGTTAGTAAACATAAGGCGTGATTTTTGTTTTGGCGGTGACTGTACTGTAGTTTTCCTCACTGAGTTATAATCTTGTACAAAAGTACTCCTAACAACATCGCATTACAGGCTGATGTATAAGCACTGCTTCTAAACAACGAGATGCACTATGAGTATGGAATAATCTGCTATTTCTTCTGATGTTGAATCCTCGACATATTAAGGGTAGTTAGTTCAAAGCACTTACTGTCCGAGCGATCACATGTCTTTTTATCGGTGAACTAATCTACCTTCCATAATGACACTTTTTGTTGTATTTCTCGCCGCGTACTTTGAGTGTCTATTAGTATGTTGTCATTAATGTACATCATTACTTAATATGTTTTCATAATGCCCAAAATACTGAAATCTACTTATTGATTCACTACTTTAACCGCACTTGCGGCATCGAACATAAGAAATGCATCCAGCCTACCACGGATGATATACCTTAAGCATTTCATAATGTGCGGTAACCTTTTTCCGAAACCACTACAAAATTTTGATATTTTAAGTTTTTTTTTCAGAATGTATTGTATGTTCATACAACAGACATCGGTAGATGGGATGAAGTGTGCTTGCTTATCGTGCTGAATTTCAACGGTTTGATAGTGGACATAATAAAATTATATTTTCGCGCAAATACCCGGGCGTGCTCGCATGCCAGTTCGCCACTTAAAGCAGCAGGGACAAGTCACCATCTGCCTATCCTATTCTTTTAAGCTGTCTATCTGACCTGATTGTCGCCTAATATGCGTGTGGTCTTTGTTGGTTGGTCAAAATTAAAATAGCCCCAGTAGAAATGTCCCTTTTTCTGCTGTATGACTAGAATACAATTAAGTTTTTAAGATCTTCTCCACTCTTAGCATCTCGCTTAATACATTCGCAGGCATTGTATTTATTTTGCAGTTACAGCACGCTTTTGTTTCTGCCTGTACTGCTAATAAAGGTATCCTGACAGGCTTCCTAATGTGAATTTTGTAGAAAAGAAATTTTGCCATATGCCACTGAATAGATTCCATGTGTCAAGTGTTAAGAACATGCTGTCAAGTTGTCAGGGCGAATTTTACGGACTTCATCATCCATACCTCAATTTATACCATATTCCTATTGATAATTTTACTCTAAGAAACGACAGCATTTGCAATACCAGTGGAACCATCGGTATGACCGAACATATAGGCTGTGCGTTGGATCTGAAGTAGCTTGGAATGAGAATATGGTATATTGTGTTGTAACATTCTGCCTAAAATTACTCTTCCTCAACCACAGGACTTCGGTCAATGTACGAGACAAAGCCAGGGTAGTGAAAAGTTTGCTTTCCCTTTAGATTAGAACGATATTTACTTATCGACCGTCCGAAACCAATCAGACAATAGTAGATTATTTTATTCATAAGGACCTAATTGTAAAATGTATTACATTGGTAAGTCCTCAAGGCATGCTAGTTTTAATTTAGAATTTCTTAGTAAAATAACATGCGAAAATACGTGCAAACGCTTCTGTAATTTTTATTTTTTTAGTAGGGTAGGCATTGATGTCTGCTTTACTGTTCTGAACTTAAATTGAATCTTCTTTTTTAGGGATCTATACCCCGTTTTGAGGAAGAGATAGAGGAGTGGAAAGATTTACAGTTCTCAGTGGACTTCAATCGGTCTATCTTAGACATTTCTAGGTCTCCTAATATCAGCGTCGAATACGCCGAGGAGCAAGTTGGTTTGCGGAAAAGACAGACGGTGCTACGTGCTGTCATTGAAGCGTGTATGCCGAGAGAGTTTGAAGTCCCTCTTAAGAACACTTTCCTCACTGAAATCCCAATTGTTGAATTAGCTATGATGTTGGTCTGAACGATGAAGGTGACGTGCGAGCGCCTTAAATGCTTTTAATACACTGTTGGTCCTTATGTGTTTGTCTCTTCTGCTTAAATCGCACACTTCGAGCTTTTGACAAACAACTCATCTAAATGCTATAAAACTGTATCTAGAACGGACATTTTGTTATTGGTGTATTCAATCCATGTGAGGGCTCGTAAAAACATAAGAGAATCACACTGGCAGGTCTATTGCAGAGGTTTCAGTGAGCCAAAATCTGGCAACTGCGATCTTCAGGCCCGTTTTTTTTATGAGGTGAGAGATGCCTTCGTAAATTTAGATTGTTAGGAGCAATTCCATCCGTACAGAAGAGTCAGGAGGCAGTTGCCACTTGGTCTGGCGTAGCGTGCGACCGTGAGGCTCGTGTGAGAGCGTGGGGTCGTCACAACAGCCAACGATACTGCCTGCGTCCGCAACTTGATGGGCAGAATCCCCGGTTGTTTTTCAGAACGGGAATTACCACAACGCCCAGAGCGGGCTTTGTGTGCGTCAGCCTCAGGACGATGATTGGTCCGACCAATCTGGTGTGCGTCCCAGTTAGGTGAGTACAAAGATTGCGCATCGCATGCGGACATGAACCATTGTGCTGGATGAAGCGCGACTGGTAATCCAAGATAGTCACTACGAAAACTTGTCTTTGGCGTCGAAATATCAATAGAAATGCGAAATGAGTAATCAACAGATTAAAACTCCTTCCTCTAGGCAGTAGGTTTGTACTTTTCATACAAATAACAACTGCCTTTTTGTCCTCCTTGGAGTCTCGTTGTCAACAAGCTGAGTTTTGTGTCGTTAGGAGGCCATTGAATGCACGCAATAACTGCTGGCTCTTACAAGCAGTAAGTACATCAAATCGCGGCTAAAATATTAGGGGAGGCGCAATGCTATGCGCCTCGTTAGAGCATTCCTTCAGGGAACCAAATGCAGAAGCAGCAAATAGAATCGTTCTTATGAAAAAGTAACTGGCACCAAAACCCTAAGAATAAAATCACTATTTACGCAGGTTTGCCAACGCCGAAATCGGTGTCGTTTGGCGTGTTGGTTGTTATAAAAAATTAATTTTGGGCAAATGAGATGGTTTTTTGTCAATTTTTATGAAGGGTTTGGGGACCTAGACTTGGTTTTCATATTTATCGTAATTAACCTTGACACATATCTAAGGTTTGACTTCAGGGTATATTTTAGCATTCTGCATAAGTATTCCATCAACATGATAATGATATTAGTTGATAATGTTAAGCTTGCGTCTATATTGACGGTTGGAAAAAGGAGAATGTCAACTTTACGGTTTCTACGGCGTATGGTGGTTATTTTAGAACCTAACTTAAAAGGTGGGTTTTGTTTTCCTTTTGTTGGTCAATTTTCGAATATGATTGTTGCAGCTGCAATACTTAAGGCTGGAATTTAGCGTTCTCATGCCATCAGAGTCGCCAACAGGATAAGGTATACGATACGTGATTCGCAATTCGTTTTGCCACATACTCTTCACTGGTTCGGTTGACTGTGGTTTGTAGTGCTTACAGTGAGAGTTATCGGCTTGGTTAGAAGCCAGGAAGGCCATTCGAGTTGTCAACAAGCAGTATCTTGGACGAGTAAAATCGATCTAGTTATGAATAAATTCACGACCCACGGCGAGGCTCGTAACTCAATGCTAGGGCGGTGGTTTCGTTAAAGCATTTGCTGACTTCAACTCCCCCGACGCTCAGACTTTTTTTGCAGTTGGGTCAACTGATTTAAGCAATCACTGGAACAAGGACTTTATTCTCCTGTCGTTTCGGATTCCATCGGGAATCCTTAGTCATAGGTTATCGTAAACAGGTCTGAGACATGCGCAGG